TGGCGGGGCTCGAGTCTCTCAAGTGCCGGTGGCAATTCATGTTATTATTATTTTATTTATTTTACTAGGGTGTTTCCCACAGACCATGTGTTTGGTTACGCTGCACAAGCAGCGCATTACTTTATCCCTTCCACTAATTGTTATCGGCCAATCAGCATACTCTCACCACCTCACATCCAATCAGCATACCCCACGTCACACTAACGTTACACAAACTTGTCTCATATTTGCGAAAAAATGGTACTGGATCATAGCAACATCCTCCTGCATAATGAACAAAATAACGATTAAAACACAACAACCGACAACAACCGACAACAACCAAAAACAACCAACAACAGCCAACAACAACCAACAACAACCGACACCAAACAACAACAACCAAAAACAACCAACAACAGCCAACAACAACCAACAACAACCGACAACAACCGACAACAACCGACAACAACATCCAACAACCAACAACAACTGACAACAACCAACTACAACCAACAACAACAACAAACAACAACCAACAACCGACAACAACAAACAACAACAACCAACAACAGCCAACAACAACCAACAACAGCCAACAACAACAACAACAACAACCAACAACCAACAACAACCGACAACAACCGACAACAACCGACAACAACCGACAACAACATCCAACAACCAACAACAACTGACAACAACCAACTACAACCAACAACAACACACAACAACATCCAACAACCGACAACAACAAACAACAAAAACCAACAACAGCCAACAACAACCAACAACAACCAACAACAACGGACAACAACCGACAACAACCAACAACAACCAACACCAACCAACACCAACCAACAACAACACCCAACAACCGACAACAACACCCAACAACCGACAACAACACCCAACAACCGACAACAACCGACAACAACCGACAACAACCGACAACAACACGCAACAACAACCAACAACACCTGGCAACAACCGACAACAACCAACAACGCCCAACAACAACCTACAACAACCAACAATAACCAACAACAACCGACAACAACCGACAACAACCAACAACGCCCAACAACAACCAACAACAACCAACAATAACCAACAACAACCGACAACAACCGACAACAACATCCAACAGCCAACAACAACCGACAACAATCAACAATAACAACCAACAACCGACAGCAACAACCAATAACAACCAACAACCGACAGCAACAACTAATAACAACATCAACAACGACGACGATAACGACGACAACAATCGACAACAACATCAACAACAACCAACAACAACCAACAACAACCAACAACAACCGGCAACAACCGACAGCAGCAACCAATAACAACATCAACAACGACGACGATAACGACGACAACAACCGACAACAACATCAACAATGACGACGACGATAACGACGACAACCACAACAGTGTCCGGTAATGTGTGGTAGAGAATGGCAGTCAGCCAGTCTGTGTACAGTTGAACATGTATAATAATAATAAAACACATTTCGCGTAGTTGAGCACTAAATAAAGAAATTCAGTGTTTTTTTCCCACTTCTGTCTTGTGAGCATCATCAGCAAGGTGTAGTAGCTGCTGATACTGATTTGTCCTCGAGTGTCGAGCTGCACAGTTTCTTCCAGTCTGTCTTGTCCTCTGCATGTTGCCGGCACCTGGAAAGGTCTTCCATGGTCTTCATGGGCACACCCAGCTTATTCAACTGAGCGACCAGACTTGTGGCTAGTGTCAACCTTGGCCGCCCACGAGGTGCTTTGTTGTCCTTGTCCAAATAGCCGCTCATGGCTACTTAGGGTGGCGTGTCCGTGTCCATCTGTAACACATGACTGGTCATTCGTAGTCGCCTACATGCAACTGTGTCATGTATTACTACAAGAACTCAACCAAGTCCTCAGCAGTCATGGAGTAGCGGCAGGTTGGGCAAGTTTGGCTGGGGGCAGAACTGATCCACTCCTTCATACAATGGAAGTGAAATTCATGACCGCACTCCAACTTGGATAGAGGACGGTCCAGGGTATCCTGACAAATCACACAAATGGGCTCATGACTTATTGCTGCCGAGTCTACCTTAGTAGGCACTATATTGATGTACTGCAGCTCCATGGGGTGTATTGCCTGGTCTTGATGGTGGCTACCGTAATACACCCCGTTGAGGTACCACTGATAGATACCCTCCTCCTCCTGAGAGATGAAAGCAGGTCCATCTTCCCTATGCCGAAGGTTGTATCGGTACCACTCCCGTACACGATTGTTACCTTCCCTGCGTATCACCGCTGGCGCATTCTCCCTGTGGAGCCTTCCGTGGTGATACCACCGTAGAATACAGCATGTGGCGTCACAATAACTGTCTGCAGGACCGCCGGCTCTATGACGGACACCGTTGAGGTAGTACTCGATGCTACCCCGTCCTATCCCAGCAGGTTCATTAACGCGATGAAGGCGACCTCCATAGCACAAGGCGGACACTCCCCTACTATCAACAACAGCTGGTCCGTCCTCCCGATGGAGTCTACCATCGACGTGCCAAATTTCTTGCTGCGCGTTTTGATCTGCCAACTCCACAACAGTTCGTATTGGCGTTCGCCTTTCTATTAGTAAAGGACCCGTGGTGAGAGACCACGACCGGTCGTCCAAGTCTACACCGAATGTATCAGCCATATCTATTTACTGAGAATAATGTAACAACTCCTCCACAAACGCTTCTACAACTGACGTCTTCTTCACCCTGGTTTTTTCCTCTTGGTGGTTTTGGATAAGAGTTGAAAAGTCCAAAAGGTCAACTGATGACCTTTGCGTTACTTGGTATGATTGGGTTTTAGCGGATGATGTCGGTATGCAGCTGGGGAGCGAATTCGACAGGAAGAAGGTAAAGGTCTTGCTTTGCGGTTCACACCTTCACTTCAGTATCATTATCCTGAAAACAGTCTGTAGAAATGACGTTCACGTGTCACTGCGGTGTTCGCCTTACAGGGGTAATACCCCTGTTTCAGCACCTGAGGCGGTGCGTCAAGCGCCGCCTCTTTCTTATCATATATTGTGATACTTGGTAAGTGTGCAGTGCTCCTAGCTCTCTCCCCCAACAAAAGAGCTCTATGACACTGTGCCTTCTGCGGTTTCTTTCGTGTTTACAGTGGAGAAAGGCTGGCGGGAGGCCCAGCCGTGGTCGCCCACCTGGCGGGTGCGGCCCATCTAACCCGTTACTGGGAGGGTCGGCAAGTCGGACTGCTGTTGCAGTCCGACTACCAGGACGCCGTAGAGCGTATTAGGACCCTGTAAGTAAGCACTGCTCTGTTTAGATGTATACTTACCCCCTCGTTATAGCGATACTTACTTGTTTCGTATCCTCTTGTCTTACCCTGCTTTCGTATTCGTGACACTAATAGTGTTTGTGTGCGCTCATGTTTGGTTTCACAGATGATGATGTATGAAGGTCTGGGGCTAGGCTGCCGTCTTCAGGATGTGCCATTTGTTTCAAAATTATTTGTAAGTACTTGTAACAGGCGTAGTGTAGTAACTGTGTGTGCAGTGTAGTAACAGTGTGTAGTGTTTTGTGATGGTCCTGTGCTATAGCAGTCGTAATGTGTTTTGTGATGGTCCTGTGCTATAGCGGTCGTAATGTGTTGGGCTACTGAAGTACACTGCATGAAGGGATATGTGTGGGTGCTTCGACATATTCTCGTGCTTCCTAAACCCTAGATACGTGTATAGCACTATAACCTAGATGTGTGTGCGCGCGCACGTGTGTGTGTGTCCGCGCATGCGTGCGTGTGCGTGCATTGTGTTCTCTTCTACAGACTCATCCAAGTCCATTTAAATAAAAGTGTATTATAGTAAACAGTATTGTGTTTTGTTACAGTGAATATGTGGGGAATGGTGGATATGCCTTAGTGTGACTGGATACCCGCGGGTTGTGACTCTTTGCTGGTCACTCTGGATTCTCCAGTATAGATTCGATGCAGTGCAGAGGGGATTTGTGGTGCGTAGCAACACTGCTTCACTGTGACACCCCTTCAATAATTGTTTTGATGCATGATACTCCGGGCGTAGCCGGTTGATTCTAACTGTATCCCGATCAAAATAGAAATATGCATCTAATGCACCTGCATGGACAGTAGGCATTTCCCAAGTCGGCTGGCCGACAAATTCGCCGAAAAAAGTGGTTTTGAAGAAATCACCCATCTTTTCGCCGAATTTTCAAATTTCGCATGTTGAATTCGCCGAAAATCGATGTTTCAGTGCTTCAACAGAGTGTGCTTGTGTGTAAATGTACATCACGTAATGGGAACGGTGACTTCAAGTACTACGTTGAGCCGAATTCTGATCTTGGGGCTCATAATATGGCCGAATTTGAACATTATCTTAACCGATCGAAAAGCCGATTAGGCATGCTCTGTATGGGCAACTTGTCAATCAGTGCACATCTACGATGTGCGAATAAAACGAATGCAAGGAACGTGAACTTGTTGCTGCACATCTACGAAGTGCGAATCAGGGAGTAGTATAATGACAAGTGTACTAGTACACCTTGTGTTGCACTGCGTCTTTTCCACACGCATAGGACCACTGAAGGTCGCACGCTCCGCGTGCGTATGCGCGCATGCGCAATATGTCACTGCATGCAATGCACATCTACGATGTGCGAATCAGGGAATAGTACGTATTTTACTACTCCACGGTGCGAATGCACTGAACGTGCACAAGTGCACGTTCGCCACGGAAAAGAACATGATGACACTTATGGCATGCCAGGGGTCAAAGGTCAAACTCTGGGGGGTCCCGAGGCCAGACCAAGCGCGCCCGATACAGTGTGCCTTATTTAACCCAAAGGTCAAAGGTCAAACCCTGGGGGAAGTCCTGGGGCCAGACCAAGCACGACCGACACAGTGTGCCTTATTTGGCCCAAAGGTCAAAGGTCAAAAAGTGTGCCAGAACCTGCCCCGCACTAACTACTCACGTAAGCTTCTTCCAAGAACAGCTAGAACAACAACAAAGTATCGAAGGAAAATTCGTGGAGGTAGACCTACATTAATTAAATGTTGTACCTGACAGAGGTATTTCGCTAGTCTGCAGTAGTAGTAAAGAGTTCCTGGCGCTGGCAATCTGCAGGGTCACAAGCGGCTGCCAAGTGATCCAAGTTTCCATGGGCAAGAGGTGAGCGTGACCTTGTCTTGAAGACTCTTTGTTCCCCACATATTCTTTCCTCTGCCCCGGAGATTAGTGTTTGCATTACAGGTAAAAGGAATCCGGTTTAGTTGGTCGACTGTAATGCATAGGTTGTACGGTACTACCCCACCGTTTCCAATGTCTCCAAGACCGCATTGCCATGTTATTAAAGGGGAAGTGTACCCTAAAATCAAATTTTCACCAGTTGTAGTCTTCGAGGGGCTGAGTCGAATGGTCTTGGTCAGAGGACCCTGAGACGCTCCCTTCCGGCTTTATTCCCAATCGAACTCGCGCACTTCCACCGAAACTGGGTGACTGCGCCCTACTAGATTTTTTTTATTCTTCGGAAAACACTGAATTGAGACAAATATATGACGCCATGCTAGACTAATAACTATGTGGAAGGTAATACCGCATACCACACGGCTGTTACGGGGAGGTCACTTGGCAAGATGGCGGCGACCTGTAGCAACGCCCCTGGCAACAGAGGTCACACGGAAAGCGTGGGTACGCTCATCGCATTTTTTCAAATTTTCATGATCATTTCTGCAGAAAGAAAAGGTTCTGTCACTTCGAATACTTGAAATAGTACTTTTATGGATTTCGTCTCTTCAGTCTCTTGCTCGTCAAAAAATGTTGTTGGAGGCAGCTGTGCTCCGCGAAGTGCAACGGATACCGCTCAGTAGCAGATAAAGGAGATGTGCTTCGCAGGACTCTTTCGCAAAATGACGACCTGCGCCTCGGATCGGGGGAGAACTTTTTATCAAGTTTACTCAATCTCCGGACAGCTATAGCTGTTTCGACCTTGTTAGGTCTCATCAGCGGAGTTCACAGTGTGTGGCCGAACAGATCAGCAAGAATTAGTTTCAACCCTGGTACAGTGTTAGGTCTCATCAGAGGAGCTCAGAGTGTGTGGCCGAACAGATCAGCAAGAATTAATTTCAACCCTGTACAAGGAAGGACATGGCACTCGAGAAGGTGAAGCTTAGGAGTCACATTGCCTAACTTGCGTGCCAGAACCTCCGCTCTGCAGGTGGCCATGAAGGTGTGGATGGCATCACCCAGAACCTGCCTTGTTGCTGTTGTAAAAACCAGCTTGCCGCTGAACAGCTTGCGACATGCTGCATACTCTGTGAAGAGTCTCGAGTAGCGATCTCTCAAGGACTTTGCCTGGGCAAGCTATAAGCAGCTGAACCTCGCCGCTGTCCGCAGGTGTGCGACTCTGCACGACTGTAAGGGGAACAGAAGTGAGGGCAGCAATGACATCCGGTTTCAACGCACGGTGTATGTGGTTGCCGACAAATGCTCCGGAGTGATATGCTTGCCGCTTTATTTGGTACTGTGGCAGTACTGCTTCCAAGGAAGTTACGCACGGGCCAGCTGCTTTTTTTAAAATCTTTTACTGTTAATTTCTCGTGCTCTTTTCGAGCCACATCACCTCTCATCCATCAAATTGAGTTCCTTTTCTTTCTCCTTCCATAGGAAGTGCAGATTTGATGCCACAGTCTGCAAGCCAGCAGCCACTACTTCCTGCTGCTGAATGTGCAGCGTCACACACTGCAGCTGCCTTAGAATGCTTTGTGCTTCTGACTGTACATGTAGGTGTAGTTGTTGTGTTGCTGTGTCGTGTACGTTCTTGTAGCGTCACAAACTGCAGCTGACTAAGAATGCTTTGTGCTTCTGACTGTAGGTGTAGTTGTGTTGCTGTGTCGTGTACGTTCTTGTAGGCATTGATAAGTGCTGTAAACGCTGCAGAGTCACCGTCATCTGCAGCAAGAAACATACATTTGTCAGTGCAATATCGATTTGATGTGCGTCAGCACAAAGTGCACCGTAAATCCAGGGATAAATCCCTAGATCTAGGTGGAGCACAGGAATACACACGTCTTGCAGCTCAACAGGAAGAATGGCTTTTCTAATCACGTTGTTGTACCGCCGTGCGTGCTGCAAGTTGGCACCTTCTGCAACGAACTCTGTATTTAAAGCGTTCTGGCAGCAAGTCAGCAATTGCTTTGTATGGCGGTGATGCAATGTCGTACAGTTTCATCAGGGGAATATCCATGCCAATTGTTGCATCGTCTAAATGCAGACTGGATAAGGCTGGAGCTACATGCATATTCATATGCATGAGTTTTTTGGTCATCACACAACACATTAATACTCAGCACAGATTCAATGGCTTTCGCATGATATCTCACAAGGTGCTGAGTTCCACGGCTAGTATACTACACAACTTTTCACCGCCTAATCTGCATACCAGCTGTATTTTCTTGGTGTTTTTCCATTTCAAATCCACTGAATAAATAACAATTTCCACTAAATGTTGCTAGAGATTTGGACCCAGCGGGGCCAACAAGGAATCAGCGGGGCCCCAGCAGTAACAAAAAACAGCTACACAGATACTCTTCTCCTCGGCAAAACTACCCTTGACGTGACGAAAACTCGTTGAGCACCTCAAGGAGGCAGCAAACTTCGGTGACTAGAACGATCGAACGGCAACAACTTCAGAGACAAATTTCCATGAAGAATGGCTTTTCTCAGCGAAGGAAAGCTCAAATTCACTACTTTTTTCTTTGGCGAAGCATGGCCAGGATGTTGCGCAACTGTAGCCGCGAGGACAGCTCGACGCGGTGATCAGAAGTGGTGCTTTGGAGACCCAACTGAGCAGAGATTGCGTTCAAAATACACCTCCTTGAGTACAAATTTTGAACGTTGAGAACGGGAAAGTCCCGGGAAGCGCCATCTCCTGTACAAAAACCAAGTGGGCCCGTTTTGTACTGTCGTAACAGCCGTGTACCAGTGTAATGAGAGTTCACATAATAATAGCAGCAATTCATCATGTATCGTGTTTCAAGACTTGTGTTCGAAACTTCATAGCAGTTTCTCCAACTGCAAGAATCGTGCAATATTGTAGATACTAAATAGGGATTTGTATGGAAAAAGTCACTAAAAACGCCGTTTCGTTCTTATAAAAGCACGGATGACCGCGATTGGTCCATATGTTGTAGTCTTGTGGCCGCTGAGTGGACAGGTTTTGGTCGGAAAGGCTGCGATGCAGCGTTCGGCCCTTATTCTCAATCGAACACGGCTGAGTGAGCGGTCACGTGCTCATGCGTACACCAGTCGCCTGGTCACCGTGCCTGCAGAGTACAATTTTCACATCAAGATTCAACTCAAAGGTTCAAAGCAGGGAGTCGTAAGGGGCTTTTACGACTCCCTGATTCAAAGGTTCAACTCGAGTGACATAAACGGGCCCAAACAGGCTGTAAATGAGCACGTGACCGCTTACTCAACCGTGTTCGATAGGGTATAAGGGCCGAATGCTGCATCGCAGCCTTTTTGGACCAAAACCAGTCGACTCAGCGGCCAAAAGACTACAACATATGGATCAATCGCGGTCATCCGCACTTTTATAAGAACGAAACGGCGTTTTTAGTGACTTTTTCCATACAAATCCGTATCTAGTAGGGCGCAGTCACCCAGTTTCGGTGGAAGTGCGCGAGTTCGATTGGGAATAAAGGAGGACGGGAGCATCTCAGCTTCCTCGGACCAAGACCATTCGACTCAGCACCCCGAAGACTACAACTGGTGAAAAATTATTTTAGGGTATACTTCCCCTTTAACTGGTCTCGTCATCGTCCTGTAATTATCGGCCTTCTTTGCTGCCGTGGACTTAGCTTCCGCACACTTTCGCTGCGCCAACCTTCCCCTCTTCGTTCCTACTTAACCGTGAACCTTCCAATTAGTTAGAAAGCTGTCGGTTTGCGCACTGGAGTCACTGGAGATGTGTTAGAGATGGGTGTCAGGTCATTGAATGCCAGTAGCCTGTCAGTGTTGTGCCCTGTTATCGCACTTTCTGACTCCTTATTATCGTGTTACAGTCGCTTCAGAACTCGTTCCCATGTGTTGTGTTCTATTTTTACATATCAGTATATGGCTCGGTATCCGAATTAAGATTACTGCATTAGTTTGAAATTTTGCCGGCCAGGTTCAGGAAGTTACTGAAGTCGCCAGGAGTGTTAGTGCGAGAGAGAGAGAGAGAGAGAGAGAGAGAGAGAGAGAGAGAGAGAGAGAGAGAGAGAGAGAGAGAGAGAGAGAGAGAGAGAGAGAGTGTGCAATTGTGTGTGTGTGTGTGTGTGTGTGTGTGTGTGTGTGTGTGTGTGTGTGTGTGTGTGTGTGTGTGTGTGTTGTGTGTGTGTGTGTGTGTGTGTGTGTGTGTGTGTGTGTGTGTGTGTGTGTGTGTGTGTGTGTGTGTGTGTGTGTGTGTGTGTGTGTGTGTGTGTGTGTGTGTGTGTGTGTGTGTGTGTGTGTGTGTGTGTGTGTGTGTGTGTGTGTGTGTGTGTGTGTGTGTGTGTGTGTGTGTGTGTGTGTGTGTGTGTGTGTGTGTGTGTGTGTGTGTGTGTGTGTGTGTGTGTGTGTGTGTGTGTGTGTGTGTGTGTGTGTGTGTGTGTGTGTGTGTGTGTGTGTGTGTGTGTGTGTGTGTGTGTGTGTGTGTGTGTGTGTGTGTGTGTGTGTGTGTGTGTGTGTGTGTGTGTGTGTGTGTGTGTGTGTGTGTGTGTGTGTGTGTGTGTGTGTGTGTGTGTGTGTGTGTGTGTGTGTGTGTGTGTGTGTGTGTGTGTGTGTGTGTGTGTGTGTGTGTGTGTGTGTGTGTGTGTGTGTGTGTGTGTGTGTGTGTGTGTGTGTGTGTGTGTGTGTGTGTGTGTGTGTGTGTGTGTGTGTGTGTGTGTGTGTGTGTGTGTGTGTGTGTGTGTGTGTGTGTGTGTGTGTGTGTGTGTGTGTGTGTGTGTGTGTGTGTGTGTGTGTGTGTGTGTGTGTGTGTGTGTGTGTGTGTGTGTGTGTGTGTGTGTGTGTGTGTGTGTGTGTGTGTGTGTGTGTGTGTGTGTGTGTGTGTGTGTGTGTGTGTGTGTGTGTGTGTGTGTGTGTGTGTGTGTGTGTGTGTGTGTGTGTGTGTGTGTGTGTGTGTGTGTGTGTGTGTGTGTGTGTGTGTGTGTGTGTGTGTGTGTGTGTGTGTGTGTGTGTGTGTGTGTGTGTGTGTGTGTGTGTGTGTGTGTGTGTGTGTGTGTGTGTGTGTGTGTGTGTGTGTGTGTGTGTGTGTGTGTGTGTGTGTGTGTGTGTGTGTGTGTGTGTGTGCTGGCACGTTGTCCTACCCCACTCACTGAGGGATGGTGATGGTCGTCTTGCGAGATTCCTTTCGAGTCTCTCTCCCCTCTCGGATCAGTTTAGGCAGTGAGCGAGTACAAGTGTGTGTGTGTGTGTGTGTGTGTGTGTGTGTGTGTGTGTGTGTGTGTGTGTGCGTGCGTGTGCGTGTGCGTGTGTGTGTGTGTGTGTGTCCCATATGGTGCCGTGGTATGTGCAGCGATTTCCAATCGATAGGTTGCGGGTTCGATTCCCGACGATTGTGGTCACACACGTCTTTCTTCTCTTTCTCAGACTCTTCCTGACTTCTCTTTCATTCTCCTGGGTGGTTACCAACAGCCAGTGCATGCCGGAGTATGTGGTATGATGTGTGCGCGGGAAAAATAAATAAAAAAGACCAAAAAGTAGAGATTCACTGGCCAGAAAAAGCCACTTCATAGCTGTGTGGTGTAGACCAGGCTGAATAGTGGCAGTCAATTCTTCAGCCTTGCAAGCTGTTGAATGGTGCAATCCCAGCACAAGTTGCTATGGCTTCTGCTTTTAGCATCGCTATCATCGCCTCCGGCGATGGGCGTCCAATGGTCCAATGGTGTGTGTGTGTACTCCGTGTGGTGTAGACCAGGTGAGCAGTGGGGGTCGATTCATATGGCTTTGCCAGTTGTGTGGATTAGACAGTTATCTGGTGCTTGTCTTGATCTGTTTTTTCTTCTGTTTATAAAGAGAAAATCTGTGGGCGCACATCCAGTGCATTTGCGGATTTGTGTGCTTCTCTTGTGACGGGCGTATACATGGTACATGGTGTGTGTGTGTGGGAGGGGTGGGGTGGGGGGGGGGGGAGGGGGTGGGGGTGTGCTGTGGTGCCTCGCCTGTCACAAGTGTGTGGCTCAGTCCCCAATCATAGTGGAGCCATGTTGTGGTGCGCACTGTGTGTACCGCGGCCGCCGCTTCCGTTCGGTGTAGAGCAGGAATAGACACCGCTGCCCAGGTTCTCCCCTGGCCATGCATCGGTCTGGTGGTAACAATCGCAGATGACCCGAATCCTGGTGAACTCTCGTTTTGGTGTCCCGGTTGCCGTGGGACAGCGTTCTCCCATTCTCCCTCCATTTCCCCTCTGGGGCCCCCGTGACCCTTGTGGCAGTGGCTCGATAGGACAGGAGGACAGATGTGTGTGTGTGTGTGTGTGTGTGTGTGTGTGTGTGTGTGTGTGTGTGTGTGTGTGTGTGTGTGCCAGCTAGTTCGGTTGGTGGGTGCACTTATGCCAGATAGTGTTGGGCCTGTTGCCAACGGGCTCGGCTGCTTGAAGGTGTATTGTTGTACCTACCACCTTTGTTGGTTTCAGGGTTCATATACTTTCTGTTTGAAGTATACATACCTGTTAACCATGGACTGCTTCTGGCTAGATTAACTCTTGTGTGATCAATGGTGCTAGTGAAGCTTATATCAGATCCACTCTGATTTAGCCACCCACACTAGTACCAAGTATTACCTTCACTGGGGGCAGGGGTACCTGCAGTTGGATCCCGGGACGGATACCCTGATGCCGTCAATCCTTTTTCTGCACCTTGTCCTCACCCACTTACTGAGGTGTGGTGAGCCCATAAGTGGGATCATTTCAAGTCCACCCTAGTTTGGGGATTTCAGGGGGTGTCGGCCGTTGGGTGGTTCAATGGCCAATTGAGTCATCTTTCCAAGATTCCTTTTGAGTCTCTCTCCCCTCTCCCGGGGAGACCCACGTGACCAGTTTTGGCAGTGAGCAAGTACAAGTGTGTGTGTGTGTGTGTGTGTGTGTGTGTGTGCATGAGAGAGAGAGAGAGAGAGAGAGAGAGACGAAGATTAGAGGGATGAAGGCAGAGGGAAACGGAAAAGCAGACACATGACCAAGATGAAGAAAGGGACAGTATGAAAAGACAGAGGTGAAAAGACGGATAGATTGAGCAACAGAAACAGACAGAAACTGGCACAGAGAGAAAGACATGTATGGGGTGGAGACAGAGATGGAAAGTGCCTGAAAGTCTTTTGATGGCACCAGGGAATATAGTGGGCTGCCTACACTCCACCCCCCCCCCCACACACACACTCACCAGGCATCAAACTCCTTGTCTGTTGTCCAAATTTGGAGCTCCAGGTGTGGTCAACATGATTAACGACCGAGGAATGATGCATCATTGTTCTAATTTGGTGCCCAGCAGCTTACATCCTCCCGAGTTACTGTATTCTCAGAAAGTATCTCTCTAGGGCTTGCGGACAATGCACGCTGGTTGTCCAAGCGGCCAAGAAATTCTGTTTCCTTGCAATGGCATGCTTGCGACCTGAACATAAAAAACGAATTTTTTTAACGTGTGGCGTCATCTGGCACAGATTTTGAACTACACCGGCAAACCACACCAATGGTGTTCTGCCTGCGTACGGCCACCACCAGCCTCTGTGAATCAATGCACAGATATACAGGAACCGGCACAGACGAGGAAAGAAACTGGCCCTTGCGAAGGCGAACAAGCCCACCATGCATCAGTTGTGGACATTTGGGATTTCATCACAACCTCTCATCACAACCTTTCGTGGTATAAGAGTGCTCCTTGCCAGTGAAACTCACACAACTTAAACTTGAAATGCTGCATTTCCGAACATCAAGAAAATTGGCAACACAACACCTGAACCGAAGAAATCTAGATATGACCCTCCCCTGCCCACCCGCCCACCCACAACCTGAGCAGACATTAAATTGACATGACAGCTAGAATGGACTGATGTTTCAGCTATCTATTTTTATTCAAAATGAAACTCTCCCTGACCCATCCACCCATACTGGCCATAGATGCCACTTTCTCGTTTGGCGCAAAAGAGCGATGATTATGGTTTTCTTGATAGTGGCATCATCAAATTTATACTTGAAGAAGCAATCATTATGCTACTGTTTGTGTGCTGCACATGGATGTAGGGTGGGACAATGGCGAGTGCAAGCAAGTACTTACTGCTCCTGCTTTGTACGGTGTCCACGCAGATCTACTCTTCGCTCGGTAAGTGATGTGCCAGTAGAGCAGCTATGCAGAACTGCTATGTGGAACAGCATTTCGAATAAGCTTAGCTAGCGTAGTCACTTGGAGATTTTAAATGGGGATGGGAGAGCTACAAATGCAATGCTAAACAGGAAGGGAAGTGATTTGCCTGAAAAGCGAAAAATGCCAACCCCAACATAACTCGAACCTGGATTTTTCATGTGATTTCTTCTATTTTAATTCTGTTTACGGGCTCAGTGTCATAGGGACATTTGCAAATCTGACGAGCCGTCACGAACAATACGGCAAAATGTACGTGGCGTGAACCTACTTGTTATCGTAGTGAACTCGTCCACAATGGTGTCATGCATGACGAGTAACGTTAGATATTGGGGTCTACGACGGATCACCGAAAACGGGTTCACCGAAAGACAGTTCACAGAACGACACGACCTCGAACGACATTTCACCGAACGTCAATTCACAGAAAGGCCTGCCTCACCGAAACGACGATTCACCGAAATGAGATTCACAGAATGTATGGTACACCGAATGATATTTCACAGCGGTATCTTTCACCGACTGATCGCTTCACAGAATACCACCCCAGAAAGTCAAATCCACGTCGAACTCAGGATGTCATTGTTTGGAGAAGCGCATTGCTAAAATTCAACACGAGATCTCTGCGCCCTTCGCCTAAGACTTCTCTCGGTGGGGAGCTGTGCCACAGTAGCCAATGAAACCCCCTCTGACGCGAACTGTACAATTTGCTGAGTCGATTCGTGTGTTGTTCTGCTTCGGTTGCCGATGGTATCCCGTACTTCTGCTTGTTCTTGCAACGTTGCATCGGGCGTGTGGTTGTGATGTCCTGTAGCTTTTAATAATTATGTAGTCATCTTGGGAGATGATCCGTCCTTTGCAACCCAGTTCATCTTTTCGCTCACACCACCAATACATCACTACTTCTCGTCCTCTCTTCTCGATGACGTATCCGTGTCCCTTGTAAATCCATTTCAGTCCGCCACGCTTCGTTGTTGTGACATAGTCCGGTGGGCCAGGAAATTCGTCACTTCCATCATCCATGTCCTCCATGATTGTCACTGTTTATACCCTACAATAGCCAGCATGCTGCGTGAAAAGTGAGCATTTCGCTAGACATGTATGTGTAGAACATAGTGCCAATACAGTACAGTGCCAGATTCTGTGAAATACACATGGACTAACTGAACAAATTGCTGTTTGTTTCGATGTCCAAATGAGCCTACAGTGCCAATTTCGTTGTTACTTCCTCCGCGTCATCGAAATTGTCGCAGTTTGACTTTTGATATAAAACGGGGTATTTACTCACCAGCACTCGTACCACAGGTAAGGAATCCGACATAGGCGATGGTCATCAGTATAGGGTGACGGCAAAGTTCTATTTTCTGTTATTGGAAGCTGGAATTTTTGAACTAGACGCAATTTCTTCGCTGATGTCGCTGCGATGGTAATTTCGACTCGGTGAGATCAGTCAGGCGTTGCAGCCTGCACATTTCTCGTGCTTATGGCCATTCACTCAAGCCTCATCACTGTTTTACCTTAGCTGGGGTGAGAATGACTTCGTGGAACAAGTGGCAGCGCTTGGAGAAACACCGAGGGGTCAGCAAACTAAATGCCTGCAACAGCAATAAATTTGTCGCTCTGGCCGAGACACTCAGTACATGATTGTACCTGCAAGAGCCGTGTAGACTCTACATGTAGTGCTAGTGATGCACACGCAGGTGCCGTACCATCATCCCCCCCCCCCCCCCCGGGTATACCAGTGAATCAGGGCCGGGCAGTGATGCTGAAAAAGAGGGCGCGCTGGACGTGATAGTACACTTACCTGCATGAGCTGTGACCACACAGCTAAAATAAATGGGCATGCCACGGCTAAAAAATGTTCATTTCAAGATCGAGGTGATTCCGCCGACGGTAATCAGCCGACCTCGCAACGATCGTGTATTCTTACTAGGCTTCGTTGGTGGTGAAGTAGAAATCATCCAGAACTAGCAGACGACAAGCATAGCAGCTCTTGTCCTGTGGAGAAAGTCAAAGCGTTTGAGATGAGGCGCGACCAACTTTCAACCTTCCTTGAAATATTTTGGAACGATATTTTTGCGTCCATTGACATCAGCGACGACGAGGACTTCATCTCTGCATGAAAACTCTCAGTCCAACTGTCCTGAAACGTTACTCTAGGCTTCAGACTATCATACTGTGTAATACGTTTTGAATGGCTTAGCTTATGGAGTTGTCAGTAACAAGTGACAAGTCACTAGTCAAACTGCGACAATTTCGATGACGCGGAGGAAGTAGTTTCGTTCGGTGTAGGGAGTATTCTGTCAACCGTCTTTCGGTGTTAGGGTCTTCTGTGAAAGTGTTTTCGGTGAGGAAGGTTTTCTGTGAACTGGTCTGTCGGTGTGAGAAGCATTCTGTGAATCGTCTTTCAGTGAATTGTCGTTCGAGGAACTGTCGTTCTGTGAATCGGGTTTCGGTGAACAGTCGGTATCCCTTGGCGTCCGGTTTTTGAGCAATTCGTTTACGCAAAGCTTCCCCTTTCTTTATGTCTGATATTGCTGACCCACCCAAATAGCATGGTGTGTTGCTTTGCTTCATCGAATTGTAGTTAGACGGTATTGTCATGTTATTAACTGGTCTCGTCATCGTCCTGTAACGGTCGGCATTCTTTGTTACCATGGGACTTAGCTTGTGCACATTTTCGCTGCGCTCACTTTCCCCTCTTTGGTACTACCATAACCTTGAACCTTCCAAGCTGGAAAGCTGTTGGTTTGCGCACTGGAGATGTGTAGAGCTAGGCCTCAGGTCGTTGAATGTCTCAGGAGCCTGTCAGTTTTGTTCCCTGTTCACGGGCGTCGGAAAGTATTTTAGTGCGGTATGGTCAGCCATCTGAAGTACAATATACAAAGTTGGGGAGTGGTGGCTGAGCCGAAAATGTTGGAAAGTGAGATCCCAGATCAGTGTATTTTATTGATTCACATGGTCCCAGGGAAAATAGTGGTACGGTCAAAACCATAGTGACCGTACCATGTCCGACGCCCCTGCTATTATCGCACTTTCTGACTACTTATTATCTTGTTACAGCAGTGGATAGTTGCTTCATAACTCGTTTCCATGGGATTTCTTCTATTTTAATAATGTTATGTTTATTGGCTCAGTATTCAAGTATTCAAGTTCTGCATAGCGAAGCTGTGGACGCAGCATACTGCTGCTACACTTCAACGCGGGAATGCGTATAACAATAATAAAAATAATAATAATGATTCACAGGAAGTGTGAGTTACGAAGTCTGAAGAAAACGTTGAACGGTCTCTGCTTGGATGACGACTACACCATAGCTCAGTGGTTAGAGCATCGCTGGCTACAAGCGAGGGTCCCTGGTTCGAGTCCTGGTGGTGACAGTCAATTTTTTCTTCAGACTTTTCCCGTTTGTCTCTTTCCCTCAAAACCAGTTAATATTTTATGACTTGGGGCTCCCCGCGTGCTAGTTTGTACGTGAAGTGTGTGGGTACAGTGAGGGCTGCGTCCCACCCGCCTGTGTGGATTCACAGGAAGTGTGAGTTACGAAGTCTGAAGAAAACGTTGAACGGTCTCTGCTTGGATGACGACTACACCATAGCTCAGTGGTTAGAGCATCGCTGGCTACAAGCGAGGGTCCCTGGTACGAGTCCTGGTGGTGACAGTCAATTTTTTCTTCAGACTTTTCCCGTTTGTCTCTTTCCCTCAAAACCAGTTAATAATAATAATAATAATAATATTAACTGGTTTTGAGGGAAAGAGACAAATGGGAAAGTCTGAAGAAAAAATTGATTGTCACCACCAGGACTCGAACCAGGGACCCTCGCTTGTAGCCAGCGATGCTCTAACCACTGAGCTATGGTGTAGTCGTCATCCAAGCAGAGACCGTTCAACGTTTTCCTCAGACTTCGTAACTCACACTTCCTGTGAATCCACACAGGCGGGTGGGACGCAGCCCTCACTGTACCCACACACTTCACGTACAAACTAGCACGCGGGGAGCCCCAAGTCATAAAATATTTACTGGTTTTGAGGGAAAGAGACAAACGGGAAAGTCTGAAGAAAAAATTGACTGTCACCACCAGGACTCGAACCAGTGACCCTCGCTTGTAGCCAGCGATGCTCTAACCACTGAGCTATGGTGTAGTCGTCATCCAAGCAGAGACCGTTCAACGTTTTCCTCAGACTTCGTAACTCACACTTCCTGTGAATCCACACAGGCGGGTGGGACGCAGCCCTCACTGTACCCACACACTTCACGTACAAACTAGCACGCGGGGAGCCCCAAGTCATAAAATATTAACTGGTTTTGAGGGAAAGAGACAAACGGGAAAGTCTGAAGAAAAAATTGACTGTCACCACCAGGACTCGAACCAGGGACCCTCGCTTGTAGCCAGCGATGCTCTAACCACTGAGCTATGGTGTAGTCGTCATCCAAGCAGAGACCGTTCAACGTTTTCCTCAGACTTCGTAACTCACACTTCCTGTGAATCCACACAGGCGGGTGGAACGCAGCCCTCACTGTACCCACACACTTCACGTACAAACTAGCACGCAGGGAGCCCCAAGTCATAAAATATTAACTGGTTTTGAGGGAAAGAGACAAACGGGAAAGTCTGAAGAAAAAATTGACTGTCACCACCAGGACGGTGAGACAGACGTCGAGGACCCTCGGTCATTCGCAACGCTGTCACCTCCAAACCAACTAGTCGCAAGCCCGCGCTGGGCACAACAGTACGAAGTAGTGGTTGCGACTTCGGCGATAATTTGTAAGAAAGGGTTTGCTCCCCACACCGGAGCTCGCGCTATTCCTACTTCGTACTGTTGTGCCCAGCGCAGGCTTGCGACTAGTTGGTTTGGAGGTGACAGCGTTGCGAATGACCGAGGGTCCTCGACGTCTGTCTCACCGTCCAGGAGCGACACTGACTCACGCTGCTATCTGGTGTTCACGAGGTGTTTTGTCG